GTATGCGGACAAGGCTTCACAAAAGTTTTTCCGGATAACCGACTTACCAGCTCAAACCAACACCTAAAGAGAACATAACGTTTGGTGCTTCTCCATTAAAGAGCTGTCGCTCAAGGCTGCCATCGATAGTTATGATTTTAGCAAACCCAAACTGCATATGCAAACCCAGGCTATTTTTTTTAGAAGAGCTAAACGGTATACGACCTCCGAATTCAAGCGCGCCAGCCTGGATTAAACCAAAACCACCGTCTTTATAACTCAGGTTTATAAAAGGACTGTTTTTTTGAGGGCCAACGTGAATTTTGGCCCCGACCGTATATCCCCGGAATCCACCTCCAAAGTGAAAGCCGAAATAATCGTGAAAGCGGGCCTCATAGTCCAGTCCAATAAGTGTATAGCCGCCAATCTGATACCCTATGGCTATAATATTTCGGTTTTCTTCCGGCTGGACTATAATCGTTTTCGATGAAGCCGTTTTTTCTCCGGACTTGCCGGATTCTGGATGACCAACTGCCGGGTTTGGAATTGCGTAGGGACCTGTTTCCAACACCTTATCCGGTGTAAGGTTTCCAGGCTTCCCCGAATTATAGAAATCAAGTACCGCCTTTTCCAGTAATTCACTGATGTTAGCAACGTGTTGAGATGTTACATCAAAACCGGAACGTTTCACTTCATGTTCAACCGTGAGAAGCAGTTTGCCATTGTGATAGAAACTGGCTTTGAGCATTGCGTAACTATGCTCACTGAAAACCTTGATTATTTCATCAATGGAAAGAGTATGAATAAGCAGTGTAACCGGTAACTGATTATCTCGCTGGTTAAGGGCTGTATTGAAAAAACGTTGCACGGCCACTGAGAAGTTCTCGGAAAAACGGGCCTGCCTGGGATTATTTAATAATCCGGTATATACCGTTCCTAATTTAACAGTTTCTCGTCCGTCAATCACAGAATCAATGTAAAAAGACCTTCCGGGAATATTAATGGGGCCATCTGGTTTTAACTCCAGTGCATAGAACTTTTGTGAAAAAGCCGGAAAACTGCCAAGCAGAATTAGAAAGAGGGCTATGTTTTTCATCGGGTTCAGGATGAATGCTTAGGTTTTTTAAGGCTGGCAAAAATATGTTTTTCCGCAAAAGATCTTTTTTTTTGCGCAAAAATAAACCTGAAGCCGGGCGGGATTTATTTTAGCCCTCAGCTTATGGGTTACCGGTACACACCCAATCAAATACCTTTTTTGATGGTCTTAATTAAAGGGTCTGTACCATGAATAAAATCCTCCCGGTCCGGATGAATTTCAATATTTGGTATTACACCGTGCGAAGCATCCTCATCCTTTACATTGAAGGAATACCGGGCCGTGGTAAAATGGTAAGTGAGTCCGGAATAAGGTAAACGTATACTCATCACCATACCACCCGTTCCTGATTTTACCGAGCCGGTTTCTTCTCCGCTTATAATGGCATCCGTATGGTCTTGCATAAGTGAAGCAAATACACTTCCGCAGGATCGTGTGCCTCCGTTGGTCCCTATGAATACCTTTCCTTTAAAGCGATTTTTCCGGGCGGGCCTCACCTTAAGAGAAGGGTAATTTACCCACTCATATAAGCCGGCCAGGTTGGGTTTAAGGTTAAAGGTATCCGTATAGCCCGGATATTGAGTTATAATTGGATGAAAGCTGAAATTATCCGGCTTTTTAATTTCTATGCGGTTAATGTAATCCTGGGGTGTGTTAACAAAGTATGAAAAGAGGTAGCGTCCGTGCGCTGTCCATCCTCCGGGGTTATCACGGATATCAATTACCAGCTTTGAAATATGCTGACGACTGAGCTCTGCAAATACGGAATCTGTAAAATTCCTGAAATGTTGCCCCATATACCGGATATATTCCTTTCGGAACCATTTGATGGTATATATACCTGTGCTCAATGAGTCAATGATCTGAAAGCGCAAGGGCAAGCCCATTCTTCCGGAGGTGCCATAGCGCACCCTTCGTATGGAATCAATAACGGGTTTTAAGAGGGCCCTGGCTTTATACTTTCCGGTTTCACCTTCTTCATTCCGGGTTTTTAATTCAAATTGCCGCGGCTGGTCTATAAAATTGGAGTACGCATGGATAAAGCTGTTTTCCAGATCATAAGCGGTTCCTAGAGCCGCATTGCCATCCCGGTACATGAGCTTCCGTAATTGTTTGGCAATGCTGTCTACCGGTTGCTGGTTAATGTGAGTAAGCTGTATGAAGTCCGGAATGTCGGGATTCAAAGAGTTATTGTGTTTTATATACCATTGATTTTCCACTAGTTTAATATCAAATGGAAAGAGCTGTACTGCGGAATCCCGGTAAGCGAAATAATCAGCATGATGAGACCAGCCACTGTGGCCACAGGCAATCAGGTTCTGTATGCGGGCCATACTTTTTATAAAGTCGAGATAATAGGTAGATTCACGGGTCTGTATAAAAGCTTCCTGAAATACACTGTCAATTTCCTTTTTGGAGGCATAACGGTATAAAGGTGTTTGCGCCTCTTCAAGGATTCTTTTCAGAATATGAAGATCGGCAAGACAAGCATCCGCATCCAGTTCTCGCTCAAAGTCCGGGTGGGTATCCCGGTTAAGGCTGTCAGAAAGAGCGAACAGGTATTGAGTAAATGCACTGTCACTCATCTGCTCAATGGGATGCACCTCGGGGACCATTGGTGTATGCTGGCAGCAGAGTAAGGTTAAAAAACACAAGGCGAGGGATACAATTTTCATAACATGGCTGGTTCCTGGTAAAGAAGATGGTAATTTCCTGAAAATCCTGGTTACACGCCTGAGACAAAGCGTTAAATTTTAATAAATGTGTAAAGACGGATGAGTTGACCAAAGGCCATAGCCCTGGAAACTAACCAATGCACAGAAAATTAATTTAAGCGGTACAGGAGCAGAAGCAAATGGGGTAAGGTGCTGATATTCCTTCTCAAAACCAAGGTCTTCCCTTTTGGATTAGTATCTTTGCTGTACTGTTTTCCCGCTGTAGCGGGACTATTTTTTTACAACAACTATGAGCCATAAAACAGCACTGATCATATTAGACGGTTGGGGTATTGCCAAAGACCCATCGGTTTCTGCTATAGATAAAGCACAAACCCCTTTTATTGATTCCCTTTACCGGGATTATCCACATGCGCAACTGGAAGCATCAGGCCTGGCCGTTGGTTTACCGGAAGGCCAAATGGGTAACAGTGAAGTAGGGCACATGAACCTGGGGGCGGGTCGCATTGTGTACCAGGACCTGGTAAAGATCAACATGGCGGTTGAGGACGGTTCTTTAGCTAAGGAAAAAACCCTTCAGGACTCCTTTCATTATGCAAAGGCCAAGGGAAAAAAAGTCCATTTCATAGGCCTGTTGTCCGATGGTGGCGTGCATTCCCATATCAATCACCTTAAAGGTTTAACTACTGCTGCGGCTGAATATGGACTGGATGATGTATACCTTCATGTATTTACCGATGGACGTGATACTGACCCTAAGGGAGGTTATGAGTATGTGAAAGACCTGGAATTGCACCTGGAAAAAAGTACCGGAACCATTGCCAGCATAATAGGACGATATTATGCTATGGATCGCGATAAACGCTGGGAAAGAGTAAAACTGGCTTATGACCTGATGGTACATGGAGAAGGTGAAAAGTTTACGACCGCCAGTGAGGCCGTAATGTCATCTTATGCAGAGGGGGGTACAGATGAGTTTATTAAACCCAGACTGATAGACGCTAAGGGAAAGATTGAAGAAGGCGATGTGGTTATCTGCTTTAACTTCCGCACCGATCGTGGCCGGCAAATTACCATGGCATTAAGCCAGCAGGATTTCCATGAGCAGAATATGCATAAGATGGATTTGTACTATGTAACCATGACGCGCTACGATGACACCTTCAAAGACATCAGGGTGATCTATGAAAAAGATAACCTGAAGCAAACTCTGGGAGAAGTATTGGCAGATGCTGGAAAAACGCAGATTCGCATTGCAGAGACTGAAAAATACCCGCACGTAACCTTTTTCTTTTCAGGTGGCCGGGAAAAAGAATTTAAAGGTGAAAAACGACTTTTATGCCCGTCTCCTAAAGTAGCTACCTATGATCTGCAACCGGAAATGAGCGCGTATGATATACGTGATGCTATTGTACCGGAGCTGGAAAAAGGAGACGCAGACTTTATTTGTCTGAATTTTGCCAACCCGGATATGGTAGGGCATACCGGAGTAATGGAAGCGGCTGTTAAAGCATGTGAAACAGTAGATACCTGTACCCGCGATGTGGTAGAGGCCGGCCTTAAAAATGGATATACCTTTCTGATTATCGCGGACCATGGTAATTCGGATTGTATGCTAAATCCTGATGGATCTCCCAATACCGCACACACTACACAGCCTGTTCCGTTCTTTTTTGTGAGTAATGATTACCGCGAAAATTTGAAAAACGGAATTTTGGGCGATATTGCACCTACCATTCTTGACCGAATGGGTGTAAAACAACCAAAAGAAATGTCCGGAAAATCATTATTAGGGAAATGATAAACGAGAATTCAAAAATTATTGCCGTTGATTTTGACGGTACAGTAGTAGAAGATAAATATCCAGCTATTGGCAAACCCATGCTGTTTGCTTTTGATACGCTGAAAAAATTACAGCAGGATGGGCACCGCCTCATTTTATGGACTTACCGTTACGGTAGTAAACTGAAGGAAGCCGTTGATTTTTGTGCTGAAAACGGCATAGAATTCTATGCGGTTAATAATAGTTTTGGTGAAGAGGAATACGATCCCCGTGGAGCGAGCCGTAAGATCAATGCCGACCTTTTTATTGATGACCGCAATGTAGGCGGTTTTCCAGGATGGGGGCAGGTGTATCAAATGATCAGCGGACATGCGCATAGCGAGCATCATACACAGGAAGTAGTAAAAAAGAAAAAAGGATTTTTTAGATTTTGATTAAATACAAGACCAAAGAAGAGATTGAGCTGATGCGTGACGCTGCCCGGGTAGTGAGCCGCACCTTAGGTATGCTGGCTGCGGAGATTAAGCCCGGGGCAGTGCCTACCAGGCTTGATAAAATGGCTGAGGAATATATAAGAGAGCAGGGTGCCATACCGGGTTTTTTAGGTCTGTACGACTGCCCCAGTACTTTACTGATCTCCCGGAACGAAACGGTGGTTCATGGTTTACCCATTGCCAAGCCGTTGGAAGATGGCGACATCGTAAGTGTAGATTGTGGTGCTATCCTGAATGGCTATTACGGAGATCATGCCTATACTTTTGAAGTAGGGGAGGTAGCCGAAGAAACCAAACAACTTTTAAAAGTTACCAAAGAATGCCTGTACAAGGGCATTGAGCAATTACGCACGGGTAATCGTATGGGCGACCTTAGCTATGCTATCCAAAAGCATGCAGAAGATCATGGTTATGGTGTAGTGCGTGAGCTGGTAGGACATGGCTTGGGTAAAAGCATGCACGAAGATCCCCAGGTACCGAATTACGGACGTCAGGGACGCGGAAAGAAATTCCAGGAAGGTTTGGTCATTGCCATTGAGCCTATGATCACCATGGGTACCCACCGCATCAAACAACTGAGTGACGGCTGGACCATCAATACCGTGGATGGGAAGCCGGCTGCTCACTTTGAACATGATGTAGCCATTGTGGATGGTAAGCCGGACATCCTTTCTACCTTCGATTATATTTATGAAGCTTTAGGTATTACTGAAACGGTATGATCAAATCCGCCTTTCGCTTAGCGCTTAAAATGATTCCCCGGCCTATGCTTATCCGGCTTAGCTATGCTGTGAGACCATTGCTGGCCATTATGTATGCGGGAGATAGATACGAGGACCCGATTGACGGGCGCACCTATAAAAAAATGTTGCCTTATGGGTACGAAGGGCGGCAGCGTGAAAATGCATTAGCACCCGGTAGCTTATCTTTAGAGCGGCACCGTTTACTATGGTTGTATCTTAAAGAAGAAACGGATTTCTTTACCGCTCCGCATAAAATGTTACACGTGGCTCCTGAACAAGGGTTTTACGGGCGTTTCCGTAAAATGAAAAACCTGGAGTATCTCACGGCAGATCTGGACTCACCCATTGCCGATGTAAAGATGGATATTCACAATATCCAATATGGTGACGATACTTTTGACGTGGTGTTTTGCAATCATGTACTGGAGCACGTTACCGATGATCTGCAATGTATGCGGGAGTTACGCAGGGTATTAAAGCCCGGTGGACTGGCTATTATGCAGGTGCCTTTGGATCCCTCCATGGCAAAAACGGATGAAGATCCAACTCTTGAAGACCCCGAAGAGCGTAAAAGGCGTTTTGGGCAGTACGATCATGTGCGTATGTACGGGCAGGATTATCCCGATCGTTTAGAGAAAGCGGGTTTTCAAGTAAACCCGGTGGATTATTCCCAAAAGCTTACTCCTGAGCGCTTTGACCGTTATCGCCTGCCCAAAGGAGAGATCCTTTATGTGTGCACTAAATAACGTGAGTTCGATATACTATAATGATGTCAGTTTGAGTGAAATTCTGAAAGAATTTTGCATGGAAAATGACTCCTTTTGCCTGTCCGGTAAAAGTTTTATTTGAAACTTCATTCAAGTTGACAAAATATATCCGTAGCACTCTTACATTGAACTCACCTTAAATGACAACACACATGTAAGGGCTAAAGGGCTTTATCTTATTGCTCTGGCCATTAATGCCGATCCTTGCGAAGTATTAAAGGAAATATTTGGGGATGTAAAACTGGAAAAGGATTAAATTCTAAGTACAGTACTGCCCTTTTACAGCCTGACTCAAAACTATTTAGGCGCAGCATTCTGCTGCGGCCGGAGGCTGCGTTTTATCCCAGTAAAACCACCTTTCAAAAATTATGGAGGCCCTGCTAAGGGATTTTTACGAAATTATGCTCGTTTTAAGCGCTTAGCTGTGGTTTGTAAATACGTATTAGGCGGATAACCTGCTTAAACCATTTTAAAATTACAAACTTGAAAAAGGGGCTACTGCGTTTGTCCAGTAGTTAGCTGCAAGCTGAAAAACGACAATGAATCAAATCCTCGCAATATCGAAAAAACTTGAAGGAGAATACAAGGTCGGTGATCAAAGAGTGACTAGATATCCGACAGGAGCAGTAAAAGAAACCCTGCACTCTTTTTCAATGTGCTATCTCGATAATGAAATCGTGATTTTTGGAAACTATCACTCAGGAATCCACTTGGGAAAGAATCATGAAACACCTCCATACCAGATTAAGATTAAAGGAATATCTAAGTCAACTCTAAAAATTTATCCAAGGACTAAGATTGAACAGACTATTTCCAGACTCCTTAACTCCTCTGTCGACAAAACCGGAGCTCAATACCATTTCTCGTCAGACAACATTTCGCAAAGACTTAAACGTAACCAAAAAGTAAGTCGAATATTAATAAATCGACCTGTATCCATTTTGTCCAAGAGCGATAAAAATGAAATCGAAATAATGATTCATGAAAGACATTTAAATAAAGAACAACTCCCTGAACTCTCAATCTTTTGAATTTGGTCATCAACGCTGGCTTGCACCTGCTGATGTACGAATGATGATTTGCGATCACACTTTTCTTCGGACTAGTACTTATCGCAAATCATCTTTGTCAAATTCAATATCTTTCCGTTCCTGAAACTGAACTGCGTTTAGCAGGTCATTAGCCACTATTTGAAGAAAATGAATCTATTCAATTTTAGTAAAAGGAAAATTCAAGGATACGTTTATGCATCGAAAGATGAAAACGAATTATTTGGAAATGCTAAAGTTGGTGATGCAATAATTAAAAAAGACAAAAAACCACCTTTCATTGTTGTTGACCATTCACTGGATACCAAAATTATCACTCAATGGCCAGGGAAGCTGTTTAAAGTCGAAGTCATTAATCCTTCAAGAGGGAAAAGAATAAATAAAGGATTAGTAAAAGATGTATGGTACACACGAACTTTTGGAGTTAAAATATTAGAAGAAATTGAAATCAAAGAGTTATTTGGAGACAATGGACGAAAGGTTGAGCAAATTATCAACTTAACAAGAAATATTACCGAAGATAAAGTTTTGGAACTATCGAAGTTTGAAAAAGGGATGAACAGTGAATTATTTACAAAAGCTTGGCGAAATTGGATAATGATTTATGACGCTAATCACCCTTTTGTGAATGATGACCATCTCGATACAATTAAACTTGCACCTAAAAATCATAGATACAGTTCCCCAATCAAAGAGGGATTATCAATTATTTCATCTCAATTTGATATTAGAGCAAGAGAATTAGTTGGAGATTCTGCCTTTGGAGTAGATGAAGATGGAGAGATTTATCTAAAACCTATTTGGGCAAAAGCTGTGGAAAAAATACTTCACGCTGGAATGTCATATGCTTCGGACAATATTTTAACCGAATCTGAAAGATACAAATTAAGAGCACCTTTTAAAGAAGTGTTTAGAATAAATTAAAAAACAGTGGCTAACAATGTATAAAAATAATTGCTCAATTTTGGGCTTAACCAAAGGTCGTTGCAAGTTTACTACGTCTGATTTTCCTGCGGAAAATCCTCGCACGTAAACCCTAATCTATAACTTGTGTAAACCATGTGTCTTAACGAACAAATACCCTTCGGTCGGGATTTCCGTTAGGGATAGAAAGAGAGACAGAGCGATACTTAACTTCATGCCAAATTGCGCTGGCCATCTCCATAACGGCTTTAAGAAATTTGGGGACATCAATCCACCCAATCGGCTATAAATAAATTGGTGTTTCGGGTACCACCATTATTACGGTTGGAAGAGAAGATCAGTTTTTTACCATCATAGCTAAACATGGGGAAGGAATCAAATTGCTCATCAAAAGTAATTTGCTCCAGGCCGGTACCATCTACATTGATCATGAACAGGTTAAAGGGGAAACCTCTTTCGGATTTATGATTGGACGAAAAGATCACCTTTTCTCCGGAGGGATGAAAGAAGGGCGCCCAGTTGGCATTGCCCAGTTCAGTGATCTGGCGCAGTTCACTACCGTCTACATTACACACGTACAGTTCCATATTGGTGGGCATCACCAAACCCCGGGCCAGTAGGTCCTTATATTCCTTTTGCTCAGCTTCCGTTTCAGGGCGGGAAGCGCGGAAGATCAGTTTAGTACCATCAGGAGAGAAAAAGGCACCACCATCGTAACCTAATCCCTTGGTTACCTGTTTCTGGTCAGAACCATCAATATTCATAGTCCATAGTTCAAGATCACCGGAACGGGTTGAGGTAAATACGATCTTATCGCCCTGAGGGGAAACCGTAGCTTCGGCATCGTAACCGGGAGACCGGGTCAATTGACGCAGGATATTACCTTCCAGATCTGCTGTGAAAATATCAAAGCTCTCATAAACCGGCCACACATAGCCTTCCTCATGCCCGGGTTCAGGCGGGCAGGCCTCTCCGCCCAGGTGGGTGCTGGCATATACAATAGTGGAATCACCAGGTAAAAAATAGCTGCAGGTAGTACGCCCTCTTCCGGTGCTTACCATTTTAGGCGCTTTATCCATCAGCTTGTCATGGGCAATGTCAAAATAAAAGATCTGATCACACTCTACACCCCAATCTTTGTAGTTGGACTGAAATACCGCCATGCTGTTATCAAATGAAAAATAAGCTTCGGCATTATCACCCCCATTGGTTAACTGGCGGATGTTTTTAAGGTGCGTTTCACCTTCTAATATCAGGCTGTTGTTAGGGGCCTCCTGGGTGGTGGTAGAATCCTCTTGAGTTTCTTTACGGGTTTCAGCTTCTCCGGTTTGCTGGCAGGCCCAGGCTCCGGTCATTAAAAAAGTAACACTCAAAAGGAAAGATGACAATTTCATACTGACTTGGAATTTTTAGGAGGAACGGGATCGTAACCATGCGTTCCCCAGGGGTGACATTTTGATAATCGTTTAAGGCCCAGCCAGAGTCCCTTTAAAGGACCCCATATACGGATAGCCTCAATGGTATATTGTGAACAGGTAGGTGTATGCCGGCAACTGCTGGGCAGCATAGGCGAAATTACGGCCTGATAGACCTTAACTAACCCAATAAATACAGCCGATATACTATTTTTTATAAACCTGATGATCACTATTGTAAGGTGTAGCTGGTGCCTTCCGGCCCGTCTTTTAACTGTATACCTATTTCAGAGAGCTGATCGCGGATTTTGTCTGACAAGCCCCAATCTTTATCGGCTCTTGCCGTAGCCCGCATGTCAATCAGCATTTTCATCACTTCATCCAGCTTTGCTCCACCTTCATCCGTCATGGTATCTTCCAGCCCAAGCACGTCATACACAAAGGCATGCAGGCTTTGTGAAAAATCGTCCAGATCATCCTGTGAAAGACCGGAAGCTTTTACCCCGGCACCATTAATAAAGCGGATGGCATCAAAAAGATGCGCAATAAGAATAGGGCTGTTGAAATCATCGTTCATGGCTTCGTAGCACTTTTTCTTCCAGTCGGCCACCTTAAAATCGGTTGAACCGCCTGCCTGTAACGTTTTTAACTTATGCAGGCCGTCCATCAGGCGGATATAGCCTTTTTCAGCGGCCAGTAAAGCATCATTGCTAAAATCAAGCTGACTGCGGTAATGGGCCTGCATCATAAAGAAGCGGACCACAGCCGGGGCAAATCCCTTATCCAGTTTATCGGTATTACCAGAAAAAAGCTCTCCGGGCAAT